CTAAAGAATTTACATTTTGCTTATTGTTACAAAATTTATCATTTGTAATTTCAAATTCCTAAATTGAGAGTCTCTTGACCATACTTATATTTCTATTTCAGTAACATATGGCTCAGATTTCAGCTGTGATGGGAACTGCAAAATGGTATGATTCATGTGAGTGCTAACAAATCATTCAAAATTTAGGAAGTTTGCGTCTGTTTTATGTAGATATATCTAAATTATGAATATGGGTTAATATTTAGAATATTCTTAGCATAGTATATTATATTACATTGCATCTGAAGGCTTAAATTGACACGAATTAACCTATACATCTTTAAATATTTGCAAAATTGTATTTTATATCAGCCTATAATAAATGACCATGTTACAATTCAGAAGCTGAAAAGTCTAGTGAGAGTTGCCATGGGAACCTTAATGTGATATTCCCTTGCTTTCATTTAAATTTCATTTTTAATATTGCATTAACATTTTTGCATTTAATGGATAGATATTTGAATTAATATTGAAGTGCTCGTTCTAATATAAATAAAATATAAGAAATGAAAATGTGATTTTTCTTCCAATGAACAAATGAACATATAATCCAAGATATTGTAGAAATAACAGCACTTGAGTTTTAAATTATTGGATTCCATTCATTTATTTTGAAGTTTCTTAAAGGATCCTTTTTAAAAGACAAAGAAATATTTATGCATAGTCACATAATTCATGTCTTTAACATTTAAAATATGATTCAGAATTTCCTGAAGGCTCTTTGGGGGTAATTCACTGTGCCTTAGTTTATTCTTCTGTTATTTTTGACTAGATGACCTTTAAGGTCTCATCTATATTTGCAAGTTCATATTAGTATAATAATCATTTATAGGGTAATACATGTAATCTTACTTAAAACAAAAAACTAACTCTATTACCAGAAACAAATTTGTCTATTTAAATCTGTTTTATAAAAATCTGATTTGTGCCAGGGATAAATTATAGGCTATTACTTATGGGTTCTTGACTATAAAAAGTATTCATACATAATAAGGCCATATGTGAATAGTGCATTGAAAATCAAAATATATAAAAATTTATGGACAATAGAATCTGTGATTGGAAGGAAATTTTGGGTGTCAAGAGTCTCAGGTTCTTACTGATACACTACAATCAACTAGGTCTGTGTGACTATATCCAAGTCATTAGATCTCTTATATAAAAAACAAAGAGACAGGATTAAGATCACTGACATACTACTCACATACTCCCTAAAAGAAATTTGGAAAATTGTGTATCCCCTAATACCTTTTGACTTAACATTCAAAACTTTTATTTGTAAGTTTAGATAATGGCAAAGTTATTTCTGGTGTATTACCATTTTTAAATGAAAC